CATTGATTTAGCTTGGAAAGCGAGGAGAATGGCGCTAGGCTTACCGCACCGTGACGTCACTGCTGGAAGATGGCAGGAGGGAGGGGCTACTATATTTGGGGAAAAATGGCCGCTCCCTGACTCAGTGATCGCAACGAACATTATTTTTTCTTTTTTTACTGATTTAAAAGCTAAATTCATTAAATCACTGGGATGGCATTAGTTTTAGGTATAAATAATGATTAATTGATTATTCCTGCTGACCGACTTCTCCTTTAAAGCTTCCATATTATTCTACAGTCAAAAATAAAAATATGAACACTGAGGCCCTCAGAGCAGCTTTTTGTCGTCTGTGCAGGAAATCCTCTCAGATCAGGCAGACATGATTGGATGAAAACTGACCCAGAAATATGGAGTTTAAAGCCGTAAGATATGTTCAGATTCTACCAGCATTCTCGGTTAAAATCAGAACTCTGAAGTTTTTAAATAGTGTGTCTGGGCCCCCATCTGATCATGTCAGGTTTACACTCATCTGATGGTTCTGGGTCTGATGGCGGTTGCTTCTCTTCACTGGAAACACAAGCTTGAACACAGATTGCTGGACCTTCACTGACTCAAAGGACATGAATCTAGTTTTTTTAATGAATAGTTAAGCTTTCTAGCGTTATCTAATAACCTGAACAGACTCTACATAGAGTTTGAGCTATGCTGGCCTGATCTATCCTCAACATCTACAAAATCTCATTGAAAATTCCTCTACCGGTTAAAAACAACTTTTCTCTGGACCAAACTGTGTGTAATATAGAGGAAAAAAAGACGCCCCAGACGCCGACCCTGAGGCACCTCACAGTGAATATTATTATATTGCTAAAGATAGGCTCGGTGTATGCACCTTGGAGCTCGATCTCTCTGGTTTAGAATCTGATAGAAATTGTAATCTTACTCAGATCAGAGAAGTTGCTTAGAATTTACAGAAGGCAGCTGCTCACCTCTGGGCTCACTTCTTGGGAAGTGATTAACAGTTAAAATGGCTTTTTCTGCCAAATCATCACATCATTACATCAAACACATTAGCAGATGATTAGACATCCATGGCTCCAGCCTTATCAAAATACTACACTTAGCTGAAGGACGTCGCTCTCCTCCATTCCCAAATCTTTGCCACGTGTAGAATAAAGATTATAACTGTATATCCAGACAGAGGAACTGTCCTAATTAGATAAACTATTGTGGAAAACATCAGTTCTGACAGGCAGCTAATATTAAGGTGTAATAAACTCACACATCATCAATGATAATTATCCTAAAAATATTACATAATTTAATATCATTACATAAACTATGAATGGAATGATAGGAACTGATGCAGTCCAAGGTAATCCGCAATCAGAGCCGTGTGATCCAGGAGAGAGAAGATGGATGGATTCTCCACCCAGGTGGAGCCCAGAGAGGTGAGCAGGGTGGAAAGTGTCAGAGTTGATCTGTAAGAGAAGCAGGGGGGTGATTGACCATTAGGCAATACTAGGCAGCTGCTTAGGGCCCCCAGTTCCTTGGGACCAAATACAATTCTGATTACATCTATAGTTAATACATCTATTCCTTATTTGTTCACATTAATGATGTTTTTGATAA